TTTTTTTGGCCCCCCATGTCTCAATCCTACTAGACACTCGGAGAAAATATAAAGAAAAGAAAAAGACTGCAGAGAGAGAGTGAAAGCGGCGCTGATTGCTGAACAAGAAATTGTGGCGGACAAAATGGGAGCGGTGGCACCTCTTCCGGATTGGATTCCAGCAGATGATCTTTTGCTTAAAAACGCCGTGGAGGTACAACCCTTTGAAGCAACCAAATGCACCATTTGGTTGCGTTCAAAATTTTTTCTTCTTTTTCTTGGTGCTGTTGGTTTTGTTTGTGCCTTGTGGGTTCATTTCTTGGAAAATGGTTGTGGGTTTTGTGTTGATTTTGAGTTCATTTAAAGTGGAAAAATGAAGTATTGTCTTTAAACTGGAATTGGGTTGTTTGTGTATTTGTCGTGGGTTTTTTTATCCTTTCACCGAATGTGTTTGCTGTTCAATTGAATTTTATTTTACTCTGAATCTTGTTATTTGATTAATTTAGAATCCCCTAATCTCTAGTTTATATGTGGTTTTGGGACGAAAGTCGGTGGCTTTCTTTTGTTGCATGAAATGTTTGAATTGATAGCTCGAAGCTTTCCATTATTGATTTATTTTTGTACATTGATTTTCGGGAGATATAAGTAAAATTCATGTATGTAAGGTCTTAACTCATATCAATGATTATAATTGAGTTTTGAATGAAATTGGAATTGCCATGATTATGAAGAATAATCGGTAGAATTCAGTTTAGTACTTGTGAAAATACACGATGTCCAGAAACCTAACATGGTGAATAGAAATAGGATACTCTAAGATTGTAATTCCACTTATGGTTATATTTGGTTTATCAAGATCCACGAGGAAGGCGTTTGGATAAATTTAATTCCATTTTTGTGGAGTTGCAGGAATTTTTAACATGTTATTATGTGCTCGTTGGAATCTGTTTTGTATTATGTGTCATGTTTGGAATGTCATTAGGGCATATATTTAGTTTCAGATCCTGAGTTGTACTTGGGGTTCCACGTTTATAGATGTGCTGATGTGCTTGGGGTGAAGGCACTAGTATATGATTTGGCAAAAGTCCGAAGGGACATATCCATAATTAATTTGATTGTAATAAAATAAGTAGGAATTTTTATAAACTAGTGAAGCAGCCGCCTCTATCTCCGCAGCTGGTAACTTTGTAATCTCTTTGTTTGTCATGAATACATTTTGTTATGGAATGTTGTTCATCATTTTAATGCTGGAGCACAAAAAAATCAATCTAACTCGTTTAACTTGAAAAATTTGAGCCTTGTCCATAGCCAAGAAGAAGTCGAAGTTTAATCCACCCCACAAGCATATACACAAATCCATGTAGAAAAGTGCTTTCTGGGGAAATATTAGGGTTTGAAGAAACTGTTTAGGCCCTGCCATTATTGAGAAAAAAATGATGTTTTGAATAGTGATTTTTGGAGAATGTGTGGTTAAAAAATATGGAAAAGTTTTGATTTACGCGCAAAATATTTTATTGTGTGAATGTGTGGCTGAAAATGAGAATGAAAATTAAAGAGTTTTGTTTTAAAGGGAGACATATAGGGGCTAATTAAACTCTATTAATGAAAACGAGTTCTGAAAGTTTATGTAAGAATAATTCTTTGTAATGCCATCGTGATGTCATCATTTTCTTCTTTTGTCTTAGGCCGGCGCTTCTTTGGAATCTCTTGCAAAAGGAGCGGTGCAATTTTCTCGAAGATTTTCTTTTCGGGAACTGCACGACCGTTGGTATTCTCTCCTCTATGATCCAGTTGTTTCTGCAGAGGCATCTGCTCACATGATTGAGCTTGAGCGTTCTGCTTCAACGCTACAATCAGGACCTAATAGGCCAGATAGTACAAAAGAGACAAAGTGCAGTTTAGGGAAGCGAAAAGCTGAAAGTATTCGTAAACGTTACTATGTTATGCGTAAAATTTTTTTGGATGAACAACTTGATGCAATGGATATTTTATCTCTTGCTGAACCCGGGAATTTTAATTTTAGAGATGGGAATGAACATCCATCTGCAGATCGCATTATTGAAAACCCAGTTTCAAATCATTTTGGAATTAATGGTGGTGCTGGAATTCAAGATCGCGTTGAAGATCTTCCCCTTCCTGGTAATAATGTGTCCCGGGGCTTTTGTCACACTAATGAAGAGAATATATATATGCCCAGGGGATTTGGACAATCTAAAGAATTGCCCATTTGTGACTTTTTCAAAACTGACTGTTTAGAGATAAAAAACCCTGCTGGATTTGGTCAAACTAATCAGAATGGAGGAAATGTGCATTCTGAATTCGGAGGCACATCATTAATCAGTTTTGGCTGTTCGTCTCCCCTGCCTCAAATGCCAATTTGGAGTACCATGCACGACATTTCTGCCACTGCTCCGCCTGTTCAGCTTGGAGAGAGTGACCAGCAGACAGGAAAAGTATTTGTACGTACCGGGGCCAATGATGCGAATAGTACAGATGCACCCAACTTAAAGAATTCAGTGCCTAACATGGGAAATTTAACTCCTAACCCGGAGGACTTCTTTGCGGAATTGACTAGTACTTTGTTTGACTTTACAAACGAGGAAGATCAGCTTTTCATGGATGCTGATGGAAAGGACCCGATCGAGAAGTCTTATATTGATGGTTTCAGTTCACTTTTATTGGATTCTCCTAACAATAGCGAGTTGCCTAATGTTGTCCCCAAGGCTCCTGATGCACATTTTACTTTTACAAACGGTGCACGTATTGAAGAGTCAGGGAAGAAGGAGCTGTATCAGAGTTCAATTATAGACGCACAACTACCACCTGTTCAAACTGTGAAAGCTTTTGGTCCTGAATACCGTAATGGAGTCATATGCTGCACATTCAACACCGAGGACCCAGAAATTCCTAGCAATGATGATGTTTTTCTTCCCTTTCGCTTTCCCTCTCCTTCTAATTCCCCAGGGCCGCATTGGAGAGATCACGATGCCCATTATCTAATGCCTTCTTCTATGAATAATTTCTCTAGTACTCGAAAAGCAAATGGAGGACAGATTCTGAGGAATAGTGAACTGAAAGATTCTTGTGCTCCTTCTCGCATGATAGGATCGTCACGACAATCAGACATGGGTGCCAATAATCGAATTGGTAGTTATGGGATAAAATTTGAGTTGCCTAACAGTAGTACCCAACACTTGGCACTCAAGAATGCAAGAACTAGTGAAGGCCCAAGCCATATCAGTTCAGTGGATGACTTCACAAAGTATCTTGTACCTGGAGTTGTTAAGGAAGGTGCTACAAAGATGGTAGTGGGAAAGAATCTTGATTATAAATTAGCCGGTCCTTGTCTAGATAAGCATTTTCAAGGTCCAGACAGTGTTCAAAAATTTCAGGAAAATATTGTTGGCAATAAGAAGGAATTTGATGCTAAAGCTACAGTTCCAAACAATGGAGCATTGAATGCTAAATCAAGTTTTGTAGTGACGCCAGTCTCGCAACGAATTGAAAAGTCTCTACTGTCAGATCAGGAAGAGCCTTGTTCTGAGAATGATTTGGATGTTCCCTATTTTTCCGATGTAGAAGCAATGGTAAGTGCAGTCTTATTAGATTACTTCCAATGTTGTTTACCTGTATCTCAACTTTCCTTTTCTCCTTGATCACTTGCAGATCCTTGACATGAATTTGAGTCCAGATGAATTTGATCTACAGTTGAGCCAGGAAGGTAGGACTTACTCTACAATTTCTCTTATTTTCATGTGTGTCAAGAAAACTGCAGCTGATTGAAATCTTTGACACAGTATCTGATATGCAGTTGAACTATAGTGTACTTGCACTCATTCTTGATTTGGTATGTATTTTTAGGTTATTGCACTGTATAATGATTAATTATTTCTATAAATTCATAGTTAAAAACGTCTAGATGCTTCTAGAGAGCTGACTTTCCTGAATATTCAGTTATTAAAGTTGCACACATTTAAACCTGTGTTGTCTCCTTTTAGCTAAGAGCCCGTTTGGTGCACATTAAAATGAAAGAATGCATTTTTTTTGAAGTGATGTGTTCGGGATGCGATGGAAAATATTATTTTATTGAAGAATTTGTGGTTGAAAATGAGTAGAAGAATGAGAATGAAAAAAATAATGTGGATCAAACAGGGGCTAAGTACCAAAATCTTTCTCATAGAACTTCTTGTGGTTGCATTTTATAGTATTTCATTCCCATAGTTGCGTACGATCTTCTTTGCTTCCATATTAATTGTAATTTTTACAGTTGATTTTACTTGCTGATATTGCAGTTTTTCGATACAAATGTGATGAAACTAAGAAATCAATCATAAGGCTGGAGCAGGCTGTTGATGGTTATATGCAAAGAGCCATTGCAGCTCAGGCAGCATTTGCTGTTTTATATGGTCGCCACTCTAAGCATTTTATTAAGAAACCTGAGGTATGACAGCACCACACAAACCCCCAACCCCACCCCCAAAAAAAAAAAAAAAAAAACCTGCAAGCTGAAGGTATTGATGACTTCGTTTGTTGCTCATGGGTCAAAGTTTTTTTTTTTTCTTTTTGATAACCGTGGATGTTCGGGTCAGCTTGCGCGCACCTCAACTAATTCCACGAGACCCTGAAGTTTACGATTGGGTACTCACATCAGTAGCCGTGAGGAGACTCGAACTGGTGACCATTGGGGAGCAAACCCAAGGCCACCAATTGAGCAACCCCTCAAGGTTATTGCTCATGGGTCAAAGTTATGTTTTATGTTTGCATTTCATTGGTAGTTATTTGGAAATTCTTGAAGTGTTGCCATTAAATCTGCATAAAACTTTAACCTGAGATTGGATTACATATGTCTATGCCTAATATCCAAAAAAGTTGTGACTTGTGGAAAAATTCAATTAGATTATCGGTTCAGATTATCTTTCAGTTATGGTAACAACAGAAGTGCACTTGAAATGTTATGAAGTTCTGACCGACTAGTTTTCTGGATGCCTGGCTGGGATCCAGGCCTTAAGACATGAAAGTTTTGCTTGGATGCCTATGTGTGATGAACTCTTGTAATTTTTGCATTTAGGGCCTTCACCTCTAGATCTGTGAGTTATATGAAGGCAATATTAATAAATTAAGTTTTAATCGCAAATTCTAATTTCTAGAGGACAGTCTTACCACAGATTCCTGGGACATCAACTATGAGCTGACTGATATGAATACTAAAGGCTTAAGTAGCTTGACTAACATATACTTTGGCTAATCAAATAAAAATTTTAAGACAGAGAAGATTATGAACTGTCTTAACTCGGGTCATTCATTTGATTAGGCTTGTTATTAAACAAGCATAGCTTTTATTAGCTAACTTGGCTCCACTAAGCCTATGAACATATTTTCTATTTCTCATTTTTTACCTTTTACATCTAGAAAACCTATGCATATATATGTGATTACTAAAAAAAGGTATATATCTAGTAATTACTATTAACATGAAAAACAACAAACTAAGCCTTATTCTAAATAATCTGCTACATGGATCCTATTTGTTACTGTGTTTGGTGCGTGAATAATCCATTGCAGTGAAATCCTTCACAATCACAACTGTCCTAATTTTCCTCTTGTTACAATAATTTTGAGTCTGCTACATGGATCCTATTTGTTAATGTGTTTGGTGCGTGAATAATCCATTGCAGTGAAATCCTTTACAATCACAACTGTCCTAATTTTCCTCTTGTTATCCCCCTTCTAACCCATTTTACTTAGATCACACGTGTAAATGGGAGTTTCTTTAGCTCTATGCACGAGATGTCATAACAACCTAAGTAGTAATCTTAATATAATTATCTTTACTTGGTGCCATCACATTGTCGTCTTGTATCCTCATCTTTATCTATTTTAGAATGATCCATTCATATACTTAATCCTACATTACTGCACCCTACCTTTAAACTCTAAAATACTCATCTAAAGTTTTAACTTATTGTGATGGGAAATCCTCTTTTACTACCCCCACTACATATAAGACTCTTGATTCCTCTATCATGTAAAATTTAATAATATTGATATACTTGCTATATTTTCCTTTTCTTTCTGTCACTTACGCTGGGTATGTAGGCTTTTCCTGTCAATAAAAAACCACACACAAATCCCTTTTTTTCCCCCTCCATCAATCACCTATCAGGTGATGACTTACTATATTTAGTTGGAAATAATAGCAGAACTTCTTTTTAAAGAAAAACTATAGCAGAATTTATCTTTAGTTTGGAACTACATTTGAGCTTGAGCTCTAGCTCAGATTGGCTTTGGTAGCTAAGGTTCAACTAAGACATTCAGCTCTCTCAGCTCATTGAATTATTGAAGTCTCGGAACAAATATTGTGTCGTAGATTCTCTGTGGTGGTACACTGGTATTAGACCCTGAGAGAAACCATGAGCAGTCAATGCGACAGATCATATATTTGTTTGTATTGCTGAATGTAATGATGAAGTTGGGGGTAACTTGAATACAATTTTCCTGTTCCATTCTCTTTATGAAAATAAATATTGTACTTTTCAGGTTTTACTTGGGAGAGCAACTGAAGATGTGGAAGTTGACATTGACTTGGGAAGAGAAAAGAATGGTGGTAAAATTTCTCGGAGGCAGGTTAGTTAAAACTCCTACCATTATTAATCATGCTTTAGGAATTGATTGATTGTGTTCATTTAAATCTCTTCTTGTTGCACACCATGTGGATCCTCATAATGCCTCGAGCACTAATGTAAATTAGTCTGCAATAAACATCAAGAACACGTTCTAGTTCCTATCCTTTGCCAGCATTTGGTTCCTCGGGTACCAATACAGGCTATATGAATATTATTGACATTTATAAAACTAACATTACCTATTAAATTATCCTTCGAGAGATTCTTTAGTAAACAGCATCTTGATTTTATGTTTCTTTTTTCTGCATAAATGAATGTTTTGATCCTTTTATACATGACTAACCAAAAGAAAATGCTAAAGTCGTGGCTCTATTTCCTAATGTTACAGTGTACCTTTTTTCCTACCAAAGCCTGAGCGCATTTGGTTGGTTTGTTTATTGGCTTTCTTCGTAATTGATTCGACTGGCTTGATAGACAATGGTTATTAGCATCTGTCTAGTTTGAACTCCGTTGGTTGCAAAGTATGCCATTCCTGCAAGGTGATGTTCTTTATTTATTGTCATTGCTTAGGCCATAGTAAAGATGGACATGTACGGATCATTCCATTTGAGGAACATAGGGAAATCTCCAGTCAGTGTCAATGGCAATGAAGTTGCATCTACAGCAAGTGTAACCCTTACTCCAGGTTGTCTAATTGAGGTACGATTTTATGCATTATAGGTCTATTTGGAATCTCTGTTTTATGCTTTAACTAATCTTCATGTGGCAAGAAATTGAAATTGATTAGAGATTCTATATCGAAGTTTTCTTTTCAACCTTCCCTCATTCTTTGTGATAGTGAACTTGTTTAAGATTGATATAAATGGCAGTATTAGGAATTTTTCGCCTTTTAGTTGCATCCTAGGTTGAGAAGTTGAATGGTCTACCATATTTTTAAGTTTATGTACATCTAATGCAACATAAAAATATCAGGTAAGGGGATTGCCATTTGTATTTGAGACAAATGATGTGCAAATAAAGAAGCATTTGGATGACAGCATGAGAGCAAGTTGTTCACGGGACCGTAACCCTTCCATTAGACGTTGAACGGGGGCTGGAAGATTTTCAAGGTCTATTCTGTACACAACGTCCTGTGATGTATCATGTGTGTATTTGTAGAGAGACTTCTACAGTTACGAATTGGTTTGAATAATTTTACAATAGAAGGAACTACATCATTTGATGATGTATCTCTCGTTTTTTTGGTGTGTGGAGAAATTCTGTTGTTATTTTCCCATCCATTTCTAGATTGTTAATATTGTCATTCGCGCCGATCTTACATGGCTGCATAGAGGCTCAGAGCAGCCGATAATGGGCTGAGATGGTTGAAACGCTGGCCTGCCGGCGCCAACACCCCTCTCTCTCTGTGCGGAGCTTTTTGGCAGTAACAATGGAAGAGTTGGGATGATCGAGTTACGGTGGCGGTGGTGACTGGAGGCTAAAGACCGTGTAGTGGAAAAAGGTTTGTCGCTCAGTCAACCTCATTCACCTTATTTGCCACTGGCTCAGGCAGTCACTCGGCCAAGTTAAGTGGTGGCGAAGCCATGGGTATGAAAATGTAGTTTTTTTTTTCTAGAGGATCGGGGTGGCGGTGGTGATAAGAGGCTCGATTTCGAGTGTCATTGTGGTCGATGGACCTGGAAGGATCCAAGCACTCGCGCAAGGCCGCTCGAGCAACCTTCCAATATATCAATTATCATTGCTTGATTGTCTCGTCACTCAATTGATGATATATGTTCATATTAGTTGTTATTAGTAAATGACAAGCTACAATACAACGTTTGTTGCAAACCTTTGACAATTGAACACATAAATAGTAATATCGTACTAGATTCGAATAAAGTTTCGCAAAAAATGTATAATGATACAAAAATGACTAGCAATTAAAATATTCGAATCTGCAGCCTTCCTATTTTTTTATGCCGACATCTCATGTGAATTTTGCCTTATCTTCAATTATAATATTACTAAACTAACGTTGGTACCAAAAAAGTGTGTTTTTGCCTCAATTTTCTTGATTTTAGACCAGTTTTTTCTATAATTGTTTACTCTAAAAGATAGATGACAGGTCTGACACGATTGCGTATACACTTTTCTCGAGCAAAATCATAGTAAAATGTCACATCTAATAGTACCTTACAAAAATATCAAAAATAGTTCACATGTATAAAAATTGTAAAAAGAGCGTTTCAAGTATCAAATCTCGAGACGCGACACCATATTGGAGGTCCATATATTGAGAATTGAGCTACACCATGCTATTTTTCTATTGGCTAGGTGAAAATTTTGATAAACCCAATTTTAGTGCTACAAATTTATGACCTTAATTTATGCCAATAAGGTCATGCATGATGGTGCATTCACGAAAAAAACTGGTGCGAAGTGAGGGGTAAAGGAACAGTATTCGTCGGCATTTCCCATTCCCTCCTTTTTCTTCACATGAATAAACTGTAGTCTCCAAATCATAATTCTATATTTTAAAGCATCCCATGATTCCCAGTTGCTGTGAAGGACATATTCTAATGCAGATGGGATAAAATATTGTATTATTTTGATACCTTTTGAGATATTTTTTTATACTCATTGCTCTTTCATTTTATTTATATTTCTTTTGGCTAACTTATTAGTAGACTTAATAACAACTGAGCTGAATAGTAATTTTTTTCTTCTTTTACAGAATCGGATTTTCAGTAGATTTTGATAAAAAAAATAATGTGGTGAGTGTTGAAAAGTTTGAATCCATTAAAATGTGTAGTCAAAATTAATTAGATTTTAATGAACTTTTGTAGCTGAACCAAACATGGGCTTAGTGTCTGTTTGATTAAGCTAAAACATAAGATTTTTAATAGATTTTAATAAAAATTGATGAGATATGTGCTGAAAAGAGTTCAAACAAAGTTGTAGGACTCGTCGAGAAGATCCTTATTTTAACTTGATTCTCAAAGTTTGAATATTAACGTATAGAAAGTAGCCACATTATTTTGGAATGCGAAGTGAGGGGTAAAGGAACAGTGTTCGTCGGCGTTTCCCATTCCCTCCTTTTTCTTCACATGAACAAACTGTAGTCTCCAAATCATAATTCTATATTTAAAGCATCCCATTATTCCCAGTTGCTGTAAAGGACATATTCTAATGCAGATGGGATAAAATATTGTATTATTTTGATACTTTTTGAGATATTTTTATATACTCATTGCTCTTTCATTTTATTTATATTTTTTTTGGCTAACTTATTAGTAGACTTAATGACAACTGAGCTGAATAGTAATTTTTTTTTTTTTTACGATTATTTTCAGTAGATTTTGATAAAAATTAATGTTGTGAGCGTTGAAAAGTTTGAATCCATTAAAATGTGTAGTCAAATTTAATTAGATTTTAAATAACTTTTGTAGCTGAACCAAACATGGGCTTAGTGTCTGTTTGATTATGCTAAAACATAAGATTTTTAATAGATTTTAATAAAAATTGATGAGATGTGTGCTGAAAGAGTTAAAAAAAAGTTGTAGGACTCGTCGAGAAGATCCTTATTTTAACTTGATTCTCAAAGTTCGAATATTAACATACAAAAAGTAGAACTTTAGAATGAAAATGTCAAGTTTTCAGCGCTAATCCACATTGTTTTGATTGCTTCTCTAGTTGAAATATCGATTGTCTATGTTAACGAATTGTTAAAATTAATTATTGATTTTGATTTAAATTTTTATCAATTTTTAAGAAAAATCAAACGAAGTATTCCACACACTCTATAGAGTTAAAGTTGAATGATTTTTTCCCTAGTTATTAACCTCTCAGTTCCATATATACGTGAAATTATTAATTTCTTGATCATTGTTACTTATAAACTCAATTTAATGTGAATTTTGCCAATCTATATTTTTTATCTGTAAATAAATCCATCATAAATAAATTAGTTTTATTAATATCATCCGTAAGAGAAACAAACCCCATTAAGTTATGATTAAGAGAAATCGGGTCCGGACCTATTTGGACAGATTTGAATAATTCGATTTAATTAAATAAAGCGGTGTCCCGAAATGGTAAATAATTCGATTTATTTAATTTTTTTAGTTTTTTTAGATTAAAAAATGTGAAGTTATCATTTTATCTTTTTTAAAAATAGTCAAAAACTTGGATATTGGTACTAAGTGATCCTTGTACTGCACATTTATTGAAATGATTCATGAAGCGGCTATGATTTTAAAAAAATGAGGAAATTTAGTGACATTTACGAAAATCTCCTTTTAAAAATATGGGACCGTGCTGCATACATTTGAGAGATTGAGGAGCTCTACTGAAAATTTCATTTATTATTAATTATCATAATCATCGTATTTGGCGTAATTATCAGAAATAGTCCCCAACGTTTACACTCTTTGCTAAAATGGTCCCCATCGTTTTAAAATTGGCATTTGTACCCTTATTTCAAATGTTTCTTGCGCTATTGGTCCTTCCTCCATGAACCGTTAAATCATCCGTTAGAAGTTTATGATAATTTGCAAAAATGGTCCCCACGGAATTTGCCAATAATATTTAAAAGGATAAATTAGTCAATTCCCATATTTTTCTCCTCTTATAATTTTCGGTGAATATAATTTTTATGGTTTGATGTAATTTACAAGTTTAGATCCCAACCCAAAACGTTGTCGACAAATATCATCCTTAACCCTTTAACCATTTAGCACAAATGATCATTGATGTATTTTGTATGCTTTCTGTGTTTTTTTTTTTGTACATCAGTACATGTAGACTCTCTTGCTTTTCCACTACACGCCCACCACTTTTGCCCTTTATACCCACCTACCCCTACGCCTGTCCATTTATCACATATAAATGATTTTCTTGATTTTTATGTTAATTTTCGATATTATTACTGGATATCAAACGAAGTCAAAATATTATATTTTAATAATATTTCAAAATGTTCATTGTCTAATTTCTCGCATCTTTAACGGCACGCAAAATGGTAAATCTTAACAAAAGTTACAATACGTCAAAACAGACCGTTTCAAACTAGAATTTCGAGAAATTCGATAATATGCGAACTTTAAAAATTCTTTGATGATATACGTTAGCCAAATTCACAAATCCCCTACGTCATATTGAAACTCGTTTCGAGAATTATATCGTGACATATCGAATAGTTCAAACGAGCATTGAAAATAATTAAACGAACGTCTCAAAAAGGACGTCTAACTCATCTATTCTTTAAAAAAAAAAAAATTTATTTCATTTACGTTTATTATTTTTGTGCAACTAATTTTTTATATTATAATTTATATTATTTTATTAGAATATTTTTATATGGGTATGACGTCAAGAAAATTTAGATCATTACACAAAATATAATAAATTAACATTGAATAAGATTCAAATTCAAATTATATTTTTTCTTATTGGAACAAATTAATAAAATAAAAATGTGGATTAAATATTAATTTATTATATTTTGTATAATGACCCAAAAATTTTTGACGTCATAACATGTAAAAAATATTCTAATAAAATAATATAAATTATATTAAAAAAATTTATCACGCAAAAATAATAAACGTTAATGAAATAATTGAAAAAATTTAAAGAAGAGACAAGTTAAACGTCTCTTTTTGACTTATACTATATAGCTCATCAATGATTATTTGTGCTAAATGGTTAAATGGTTAATGATGATATTTGTCGACGACGTTTTGAGTTGTGATATAAACTTGTAAATTACATCAAACCATAAGAATTATATTCATTGAAAATTATAAGAGGAGAAAAATATGGAAATTGATTAATTTACCCTTGTAAATATTATTGGCAAATTTCATATGGATCATTTCTGCAAATTATCATAAGTTTCTAATGGATGATTTAACGATTTATGGATGGAATGACCAATTGTGCAAGAAATGTTTGAAAATAAGGGTACAAATGCCAATTTTAAAATGAAAAGGACCATTTTAACAAAAAGTGTAAACGTTGAGGACCATTTCTACGACTTACCCTCGTACTTCATAATTTGTACAGCCTTACACTGTTACTGTTCACATTCTATATTATTAAATGAATAATGCTATTTGTACATTCTTTGCTTTACATGAAGTTTGACATTGTGTGTATATTCAAAAACGGTTTGGAGGGAAAGTGTGTTAAATTCAAAAACTGCCAATGTGATAGCGCCACGTGGAACAATGTAAAACTTGATGTGAAACTTAATGTACTTGTAGCATGATTCTTATTAAATTTATCGTTTAGAATGATGGAAATAATGGAATAAAATATACACCCCATCACCCACCCCATTCTCTTCTAATTTCAATGCTTATGCTTATCCCCCACATTTCTTTTCCCATTTCCGGAAATTTCTCTGTTGTCGATCAGTTTCTCCAGCACCAAATTACAAACTTGGAAAAGTTTAAAGAATCTGATCAAATCAAATGAAGATCCAGTGTGATGTATGTGACAAAGATGAAGCATCAGTATTCTGTGTGGCGGATGAAGCCGCCCTCTGCGCCGCCTGCGACCACCGTGTCCACCATGCCAACAAACTTGCCGGAAAACACCATCGCTTCTCCCTCCTCCAACCTTCACCTGAACAATTAGCAGTCTGTGATATCTGTCAGGTATCTAAACAATATTTTCAGTTTCTTGAGTTTATTTGGAGTTTTCCACTTCCTTGATTTTGTTTTTGATTTATAGGAGAAGACGGCCATCTTGTTCTGTCAACAAGATAGAGCAATTCTATGCAAAGAGTGTGATATTCCAATACACAAAGCAAATGAACACACTCAAAAGCATAATAGATTTCTTCTCACTGGTGTAAAGCTTTCTGCAACTTCTGCTCTTCATTCTTCATCCTCGACAACAACATCGACAGAATCCCCTTTAACAAATGTTTCAGATTCTGTTCCCAATATTCAGCCCCACACTTCATTACATAAGCCTGTTTCTGTTTCTTCTTCTGTTTATGAAACCCTCACCAATCCGCCACCTTTCACTGCAAAGACCACTTCAGTGATGGCGCCGCCGCCGACATATTTCAAAAGTGGTGGAAATATTGAACTGATAAATGGAGAAAACAATGATTCTACAAGTAGCATATCAGAATATTTAATAAATACACTTCCAGGGTGGCATGTTGAAGACTTACTTGATTCTTCTTCTACTGGTTTCTTTAAGGTTTGCATAATTACAAAAATCTTTTACATCCATCAATTTCATATGCTGAAATTTAAATTGCTTTTTTTTTCTCATTAATCGGAGTTTTATTCTGTTTGATCAAATTGTAGACTACAGAAAACGATGTCTTGTCTTTCTTGAATGCTGATCTTGGGAGCAATCTGAGTACTTTTCCCCCAGAAAACATGGGGTTTTGGGTCCCTCAAGCCCCTCCTCCTTTATATTATCCAACACAAATTCAATCATATCCAACTTTAAACATAGCATTGGGGGCACCAGATGAATTAAAGGAGTTCAAACAAATATCAAACATCAAATCCAGCAGAAAACGGAGTAGTGAAGACAATTCATTTGCTGTTCCACAGATCAATTGAACTGAATCATTTCCTAGAGAAAACTGAAGGAATGAAGAAATCTGTTTTAGGGTGATGGGCTTATTAATGTAACCGGGTAATTGCAGCAGCCCAGCAGCAGCCCATTTCATTGATAAGGACCAGCCCAGTTTTAGAGTAAATAAGATACATCGTGTTTTGTCCTTTCACGTTTTTAATCTCACGTTTTATTCCTTAGTCTGTTTGTTAGTTGTTAATCTGTTTCTCTCTTCATCTATATATGATGGAGTTTTGAGCCATTGTAGTTGAGATCTTAGAATAATAAATATTGAAATTATCTTCTTGCTTTTGTTCACCACTGAAAAGCAAGGAAAAATACATCTTTTTCCTGGCGATCAATTTTCAGATACACTATATTCTCACAGTATTCTTCTGTTTAATGTTTAGCAGGAAAATAAGACCAGCAGGGTGTGGGGGTGAAAATTTTGAGGTGGATACATGGTGATAGTGATGATGATGATGAAAAATAAGTGAGACTAGGGGTGGCTGAAGCTATCCGGCTAAACTATGACTTGCAAGGCTTTAAGACTTTTTTATTTGGGAATACGATATGTATAGACTTGTTTTCTTTTAAAGAAAAGGATTTGTGTAGAGTCTACGAGTTTGAAGTAGGGTCGAGTTGAGCGTGTGGGGT